CCAGCACCCAATGTCAAAAAATCTACACACCACAGTGTGTGAGGAGACCTGAAAGTGGCACATGGCAGAGTGTGGCGTAATGGAGACAGCAGCAATGGAGGCCGTACAGGGACCCATGAGAGACTCTGGACCTGGCAGCAGCATGAGGAGGCGGTATAGGGGCCCATGGCAGATTAGGGGCCTGGCAGCAGCAATGGGAGGCCCGTAATCTGCCAGCACCCTATGTCAAAAAATTCAACACACCAGCAGTGTGTGAGGAGACCTGAAAGTGGCACATGGCAGAGTGTGGCGATGGAGACAGCAGCAATGGAGGCCGTACAGGGACCCATGAGAGACCCTGGACTGGCAGCAGCATGAGGAGGCGGGTATAGGGGCCCATGGCAGATTTGGGTGGCAGCAGCAATGGAGGCCCGTAAATCTGCCAGCACCCTATGTCAAAAAATTCAACACACCAGCAGTGTGAGGAGACCTGAAAGTGGCACATGGCAGAGTGTGGCGATGGAGACAGCAGTCAATGGGAGGCCGTACAGGGACCCACATGAGAGACTCTGGACCTGGCAGCAGCATGAGGAGGCGGTATATAGGGGCCCATGGCAGATTAGGGGCCTGGCAGCAGCTATAGGAGGCCCGTAATCTGCCAGCACCCTATGTCAAAAAATTCTACACACCAGCAGTGTGAGGAGACCTGAAAGTGGCACATGGCAGAGTGTGGCGATGGAGACAGCAGCAATGGGGAGGCCGTACAGGGACCCATGAGAGACTCTGGACCTGGCAGCAGCATGAGGAGGCTGTATATATAGGGGCCCATGGCAGATTAGGGGCCTTGGCAGCCTAGGGAGAGCCCAGATAATCTGGCACCCTATGTCAAAAAATTCACACACCACTATAGGCAGGCCCAGCAGCACCCTGTGTCAAAAAAGGAGACCTGAAAGTGGCACATGGCAGAGTGTGGCGATGGAGACAGCAGCAATGGGAGGCCGTACAGGGACCCATGAGACACTCTGGACTTGGCAGCAGCATGAAGGAGGCGTAATATAGGGGCCCCATGGCAGATTAGGGGCCTGGGCAGCAGCAATGGGAGGCCCGTAATCTGCCAGCACCCTATGTCAAAAAATTCTACACACACCAGTCAGTGTGAGGAGAAAGTGCAATGCAGAGTGTGGCGATGGGAGACAGCACATGGAGGCCGTAACATGGGACCCATGAGAGACTCTGGCCTGGCAGCAGCATGAGGAGCGGTATATAGGGGCCATGGCAGATTAGGGGCCTGGCAGCATCTATAGGAGGCCCGTAATCTGCCAGCACCCTATGTTCAAAAAATTCTACACACCAGCAGTGGTGAGGAGACCTAAGTGGGCACATGGCAGAGTGTGGCGATGGAGCAGCAGCCGTACAGGGAAGAGACCCTGACACACCAGCAGTAGTGTGAGGAGACCTGAAAGTGGCACATGGCAGAGTGTGGCGATGGAGACAGCAGCAATGGGAGGCCGTACAGGGACCCATGAGAGACTCTGGACCTTGGCAGCAGCATGAGGAGGCGGTATATAGGGGCCCATGGCAGATTAGGGGCCTGGCAGCAGCTTATGGGAGGCCCGTAATCTGCCAGCACCCTATGTCAAAAAATTCTACACACCAGCAGTGTGTGAGGAGACCTGAAAGTGGCACATGGCAGAGTGTGGCGATGGAGACAGCAGCAATGGGAGGCCGTACAGGGACCCATGAGAGACTCTGGACCTGGCAGCAGCATGAGGAGGCGGTATATAGGGGCCTATGGCAGATTAGGGGCCTGGCAGCAGCTATGGGAGGCCCGTAATCTGCCAGCACCCTATGTCAAAAAATTCTACACACCAGCAGTGTGTGAGGAGACCTGAAAGTGGCACATGGCAGAGTGTGGCGATGGAGACAGCAGCAATGGGAGGCCGTACAGGGACCCATGAGAGACTCTGGACTTGGCAGCAGCAGCATGAGGAGGCGGTATATAGGGGCCCATGGCAGATTAGGGGCCTGGCAGCAGCTATAGGAGGCCCGTAATCTGCCAGCACCCTATGTCAAAAAAATTCAACACACCAGCAGTGTGTGAGGAGACCTGAAAGTGGCACATGGCAGAGTGTGGCGATGGAGACAGCAGCAATGGGAGGCCGTACAGGGACCCATGAGAGACTCTGGACCTGGCAGCAGCATGAGGAGGCGGTATATAGGGGCCCATGGCAGATTAGGGGCCTGGCAGCAGCTATAGGAGGCCCGTAATCTGCCAGCACCCTATGTCAAAAAATTGGAACACACCAGCAGTGTGTGAGGAGACCTCAAAGTGGCACATGTTTGAGGCATGATTCATGGCGGATTTAGTCAGTTGTGTCAGGAACTGGTGGTTTGAAATCCAGACTAATCCACGCCTGATTCATTTTCACAAACGTGAGTCTCTCCACACTTTGGGTGGACAGTCGTGTCCTCCGCGGAGTTACAATACCTCCTGCCGCACTAAACACGCGCTCCGATGCCACGCTACTGGCCTGGGGCATGACAGCCTTTCAAGGGCAAATTCAGCTAGTTGGGGCCAAAGGTCAAGTTTCGTTGACCAGTAGTCAAGGGGATTGTCTACCTCGGTTGGCAGGGTGCTGTCCAAGTAGGCCCAAGCCTGTTGTTTGAGGTCCTGCTCCAGGTCCACCTGATGCTGCTGCTGCTGCTGCTGCTGCTGCGGCTGGTTAGTAGTTTCCTCACTGCGCTGGTGAAGAAAGCTACTCATCATCGACTGCAGACTGAGGCAGCCGCTGCTGGTGGAGCTGCCACTGCTCCTACCACCCCACCCCTCCCCTGCTGCCATGGCAGCGGAACGCGAGCGCACAGGGCCCACAGTGTCTGAGGATGGACGTTGGCGCACAAAGGCAGAGACCAACTGACTACATAGGTGGTTTTTATAGTACGTTATTTTGGCCTCCCTCTCAGCAGGTGTGAAAAAGGCCACCATTTTTGAACGGTAGCGAGGGTCCAACAAGGTGGACAGCCAAAAGTCATCCCTCTGTCTGATGGTTATTATTCGGCTGTCGCTACGCAAGCAACCGAGCATGCTATGGGCCATTTGTGCCAAGGAATGCGAGGGACTCCCTGCCTCCATCTCCACAGCATACTGCCACGGTGCGTCTGGGTCCTCTGTCTCCTCCTCCTCCTCCTCTACCAGATGCTCCTGCTCCTCCACTCCTGTCCGCTGAGTGGAAAAACCACCCATTTCACTCAATAATTCCTGAGCACAAATGTCCTCCTCTACCTCCTCCTCTTCTTCCTGTCCTGCCCCCACAGGGGTCATGTGGCGTTGAGATCTGTGCGCCACGTCTACCGCACCCTGACCAGCCATTGTTAACAGCATTTGTTCAAGGACGTGCAACAGAGGAATGACGTCGTTCATCCCATAGTCCTGCCGACTCACGAATAGCGTGGCCTCCTCAAAGGGCCTGAGCAAGCGGCAGGTGTCACGCATGAGCTGCCAATGGCTGACATCGAAGTTACACAGGGGAGTACCTTTATCCGCTTGTAACATCAGGAAATCGGTGATGGCCTTTCGCTGCTCGTAAAGGCGGTCTAAACATGTGTAGGGTTGAATTCCACCTTGTTGCAACGTCGCAGATCAGGCGATGATGTGGAATTCCGTTCTGCCGCTGCAGCTCAAGGAGGGTGTGCTTTGCGGTGTAGGAATGGCTGAAATGCATGCAAAGTTTACGTGACATTTTAAGGATGTCTTGCAGTGGGATGGTGGATTTTAGGAACCGCTTGACAACCAGATTGAACACGTGAGCCATGCATGGCGCATGGCACAACCTTCCTTGACGCAGAGCAGACACCATGTTCTCTTTCCGTTGTCGGTCAACATGGTTCCGATTTTCAGTTTGCGCGGAGACAGCCATCTGTCGATTTCTCTGTTCATTACACTCAGAAGTTCCTCCCCTGTGTGACTACGTTCGCCTGGACCTGGCAGCAGCATGAGGAGGCGGTATAGGGGCCCATGGCAGATTAGGGGCCTGGCAGCAGCTATAGGAGGCCCGTAATCTGCCAGCACCCTATGTCAAAAAATTCAACACACCAGCAGTGTGAGGAGACCTGAAAGTGGCAGCACATGGCATGAGAGACTGTGGACCTGGGCAGCAGCATGAGGAGGCGGTATAGGGGCCCATGGCAGATTAGGGGCCTGGCAGCAGCTATGGGAGGCCCGTAATCTGCCAGCACCCTATGTCAAAAAATTCAAACACACCAGCAGTGTGTGAGGAGACCTGAAAGTGGCACATGGCAGAGTGTGGCGATGGAGACAGCAGCAATGGGAGGCCGTACAGGGACCCATGACAGACTCTGGACCTGGCAGCAGCATGAGGAGGCGGTATATAGGGGCCCATGGCAGATTAGGGGCCTGGGCAGCAGCTATGGGAGGCCCGTAATCTGCCAGCACCCTATGTCAAAAAATTCAACACACCAGCAGTGTGAGGAGACCTGAAAGTGGCACATGGCATGAGAGACTGTGGACCTGGCAGCAGCATGAGGAGGCGGTACAGGGGCCCATGGCAGATTAGGGCCTGGCAGCAGCTAATGGGGAGGCCCGTAATCTGCCAGCACCCTCAACACACCAGCATGTGAGGAGACCTGAAAAAATGGAACGCTTGGCAGCACCATGAGGAGCAGGGTGATTGAGGAGACCTGAAAGTGGCACATGGGAGAGTGTGGGGCAGATGCATGGAGACAGCAGCAATGGGAGGCCGTACAGGGACCCATGAGAGACTCTGGACGGCAGCAGCATGAGGAGGCGTGTATATAGGGCCCATGCAGATTAGTGGCCTGGCAGCAGCTATGGGAGGCCCGTAATCTGCCAGCACCCTATGTCAAAAAATTCAAACACACCAGCAGTGTGAGGAGTACACCTGAAAGTGGCACATGGCATGAGAGACTGTGGACCTGGCAGCAGCATGAGGAGGCGGTATATAGGGGGCCCATGGCAGATTAGGGGCCTGGCAGCAGCTATGGGAGGCCCGATAATCTGCCAGCACCCTATGTCAAAAAATAACACCAAACACACCAGCAGTAGTGTGAGGAGACACCTGAAAGTGGCACATGGCATGAGAGACTGTGGACCTGGCAGCAGCAATGAGGAGGCGGTATATAGGGGCCCAT